CTCCACGAGTATGACTACCGCCACATTCGTGAACATCCTCATGAGAGCCTATCAGAGACTGTGGAATGAAACGAAAGATTGGCCACTCGTGGACAGAATGGAGTATGCAATGGAGACTTCGTGCACCCTAAAATCCATTGTCCGTCATCACCTGTACATGAAGTGTGGATCAGGATATGATCGAACATTCCCAGATGTGATGATGACTTTCGTATTTGGATGGGGCAAAACGAACATCCAGCAGGCTTTCCGGAAGGACGAGATGAACGGCATGGATGATGAACAACTGGAATTCATGCGGAACCATCCAACCAAGGCCATATTCAATTACCAGGTCTCATCCGCAGAGCGCTTTAAGCACGTGAACAATGACATGTTCATGAATGGCTCGCAGGACTCCGACTCTCACAGTCCTCTCATGGTTTACATCCGCAGAAAATCTGCAACCAGGCAACGCAGCTCTGAGAGATACCAGGAGTACATCAAGAAGAACCAAGCCTGGACCCCGCAGGAGTACAAGGACTACAACAAGCAGTGGGGACATCAGAAGCAGTGGAAGGACTATAGCAACTCGACCTGGAATGATTATGGAGACTATGGCAGTTAATCCGACAGCAGCCGCCGATGGTATCGTCGATCCGACTGACCATGAAGATTCATACGTTCAGCACCACGAACTCAATTCAGATGATTGATCCTCGCCGTCTACAAGACTATACCATGAGTGAGAGATCAATAGTTTCACAATCGTCCCGCGTGCACATAGCGTTGTACATCACCCTTTGATACATCTAGGTATCTCAAAAAGAAGCAATACATAGTATTTCCATTTCGAAAACCAAGACATTTCATCCGAGCAGAAAAGAGGATGAATGCGGCATTTTTAATACACATGGCTACGGCATACAGCATGGCTACGGCATACATCAAGGCTACGGCCAAAGGCCATGAAGCCAATAGTATTTCATACTTAGTGCTGGAGATCAAAAGAAATTTGTGTCTGTTTTGTGTTTGGTTCTCAGACCAATTGATCTCCCGCAACATTTGGCTCAAGGCCCCTTTTGTATATCATTGCATCATTCATGATCGCGTGAAGCAAAAGAACCTTAGCAGGCCGCTTACAGGATTATTTAGAAGACAATTCACCAGGGACAATCCATCCTCCAATCATCCACAGTGGCATATTGGATTCTCTCCGGAATAGATCCAGGGACCAACACAACGACCTCTACTACCACAGGGTACCAGTTCCCTTCGGGGATAGGCACCTGGGGCAGTGGGCCTCACCCCTCCCCCCCAATTCCAATTTTGGGACCCCTTCGCCTCACTCAAAGGCCGCCTCCCCGCGCAGGGCAACATGAGCGCCAGCCCCGGGCCCATGCCCGGGATGCCTCCGATGCCGGGCCCGGGGGCAGCTTCCGGAGGCGACTTCGGCCTGGCGCCGGCCGGAGCCCCAAGCCTTCCCAAAAGGCAGAGGGCGGGTGAGGGCGGCCCTCTGGCTTCCATTTGCTTTAAGAACTTATTATTATTATAATCATTTTCCCTTGTTGGTTCTAAATGGAATCTAGGAAGACTGGATACATGCAGATTTTTGCCAGGGTGCTTGCTTAAGCAGGCTGCAAAGTCATTTGGGCAGGTTCTGGGGCTGAGGTGAAAACGGCAAAGTAGGGCTTTGCTGGACTCTCTTTGAATAAATGTCCTTGTGTGTAACCTTCGCTAAATATGGCTGCCAGAATTCATATGCAACCTGCATGTGGAGCTAGATTGGTTCACAGACTCTTGGGTCTTGCGGGGCATTATAAAGAAAATCGGCACTTTTGCAGGGAACCCCCTCCAAAGGTGGCACAAAATGGTATCTCAGCCGGGCGGCAGGTGGAAGCGACGAGAATTTATGCTCTCCTTATTGTGGTTTACACGCAAACTCCTTGAGGTGTTCCAAACAAAAAGCTAATTGGCCCTTTTGATTCGGTTGTGCCTTTCCACCCTTGTGTTGTGAAGTCGCCTTTTTTTCTGGGGGGCACCAAAAAAGGAACTCATCTTTTCCCCGACTCGGAGACACTTCCACGTCGCCTCTTAGGCGTCCGGATATAGCAACCAGCCGGGTTTCGGAGGATATTGAGCCGGCGCGAGGCTCAGCCGGCGCGTCGCTCGGAAGGGTGCAGTGCCGGGCTCCTTCTTCTCAATCCCACACATTTTGTGGTGGCTCCCTGTTGGTTTTCCCTTTTTGGTCCATGTTTAGCTTGAGGTCCCAAAAGGTCAACATTTTATTTCCAGGTCGTTTTTGGGTGCATCCGCCAAAAAGCGGGCTGGGGCCTTGACAAAAACAGCCCCCGCTGTCCAACGGCAGAACGGAACGGGGGGTTGAGGAACTGGAAGGTCAAAGGGTCGCGGGTTCATTGGGGTTCCCAAAAATAGCTGGGCTTAAATCAATCTGCAAGAGGGTAGTGGTTTCCGTGTGTCTTGAACGAGCCAGAAACAAAAGGGGACTAAAGGAGACTCCTCTACAAGTGATGGGTCTGCAGGAAGCCGATGCTGCTGGTTCATGGAAAATTGGGGGGGGGGGGGAGGCCCTCTTGGTTCCCCTTGAACCTCCCCTCAAGAACAGTATGCACCGAACACACCTTAGTTGTCGTCCACAAATTGCTGGTGTTGCCACTTTCTGTGAGACCAACAGAACCCCCCTTAGAGTGACACAGCAGTGACACACCAGTGACACTGTGGATTGACAACATCAAGCACCAGTTTGTAGGCGGATGAAGCCCTGCGATTGGTGCGAAGTGCCGCTCTCGCAGGGCGACGGCTTGGTGAGTGTGAAATGGAATCTGCTTCTGTGATGTGGCCGTTCATTCGACTCTGGTATTACCGACCCCGGCTTAATGAATCTGTGGGGGTTGTGCAGGACTTCCTCTAGAATTGGATGCGCTGGATGTGGAAACTAGGCGTTGACCCGGGCTCAGTATTACCAATTCGCAGCTGTCCAATAGGTGCACGGAGCAGCTACAAAGCTCGGGCGCTCGTCAGAATGGAATTGGCCCGCAAGTGCTGTGGGCCTCTTGTACGGAATCCAGCTCAGAGAATAGGTGTGACTCAAAGAGGGACTGTTCAAGGAATCCCGACTTGAACCAGGCTTTGCGGGGTTCACACACCAAAACATACCTGTGTTGCCGTGTTCTGCTGGTGAGTAAATGCTGGGCCAGGTCGCAAGCAGCCCGCGCGGGCAAAGCCCAACACCGTTGGCCGTTTTCGTAGCGCGCTCTACCTGAGTTCAAGCAGTTTAGCCTGTATAAATAATGTAACCCTACGTGGTTTCATATAGCAGGGCTATATAATCCACAGGAGGTTACCCTCCAAAGACGCACCAACATAGTAGGGCCTATACAATCCTTGTTACCATCCTGGGTTTCGAAACAACAGTCACGGGTCACACGAGACCCGGCTGCTCACATTGATTGACGACACCTCCAGTTCCATGAGGGACTCGGCGCACGTGATGCGGAAAGACGCGGGAAAAGAACTGCGCGGATGGATATGGTTAGAGTAGCCTGGAAGATGGCGCCCTTTTGGGGATGGTTTCAATTGGAAGCCAAAGGAACTACCATGAGAGGATTCAATGCAGGAAACAAGTGGGGACATGTTGTTTTGTTGTTTCCCTTCCAAACCATCCAGGGGCGAACAGGTTGGATCCCCATAGTGGCAGTTGTCCCTTGGGTTTCCCTTAAAGACAACGTTGAAAGGGAGCCCTCGGCAAAGGGGACACCATCGCAGAGCTTCACGCCTGTTTGAACAGCAACATCACACACAAGTGTGGAACAACATTTGGCCGAGGTGTGCCCTCAAGAAGCTTTTGAGCATCCAAAATGGTTCTTCTCCTATTTTAGTTGCCACAGAGAAAAGCTGTTGGCGAGCCGTTTTGGGTTTGGTCAGTAAAACCAAAGGTCAGCTTCTCTTTGACTGGTGGGTTGGGGTGGTGGTTTGGTGGTTTGGTGGGGTGGTTTCCCATTTACCCTCTACAAGAACCAGGGACCCGCACAAATCCCCAAACCAATCCAAACCACCAATTAATACCCAAAAAGGGACACCCTAGGGCCCATTTGGACTTTTTGAGTCGCACCCACCTGACGATTGGCGGTTTCGGGGGATGGCGAGTCGAGCGAAGGAGGAACATATAGCATTTGTTGGGCCCCCCGTTTTTTGAGAAACACCCAATAGATGGGTCCACCGGCTTAGATTGGTTTATTCCATTCACCAGAGCTATTTTTCTAAACGTCCACCTATGCTGAGGAACTGTTTACATATAAACCATTTCCCTGCGGTTCAAATCACCATTGAAGCAATGGGGGGGAAAAATGTAACCACAATCGTTTACCAGAAGGAGTTTCATCATCTATTTTGGATCGACCACTGTTTCCTTTCGACCTCGCATTGAAAGATGAGCCTAAAATCAAATGGTTTGCAAAATAATGGTATTTAAACCATCCAACAGTTCAAAACGGTAGTCCCTCATGTAAGCCACAATCGAATTTGGGTAGATGATGTTGAGTCGTCCTCACCATAGATAAGTGCGGCAAAGAACCGCCTTTCGCTGCTTTACCGTGGATTTTTTTGGGTAGGCTCCTTGCATACCAGTTTTTGTTCCCGATTCAATGGGGCCCAAACACAAGCTGGGACAATGGAGTTGGGACATCAAGGCACGCAGCAGGGGTTCCTCAAAATAGGGGGACCCTGTGTTTGGATGGTTTAAAGCGAAGCCAAAAGGAAACCAACTACCTGGAGGAATCGGTCCCTAATTTTGAGACGGCCTTTGGTCTGAATCGCTTGGAGTTGGGACTTATCCATTGGGACACCAAAGAGAACCCACCAATCCAACTTGCCAAAGAAGTGTTTCAACCAGGATTCCACTTTTTGACTACAGGGCAGACTTGCAGTAAACCACTGAAGCCACGTCTATCGGGTCAAACAGTGGAGCTGGTTCCAACCACGAAGTCCGCGGGCCTAGCCGCGGCTTTTCGGTTTGATCCCGTTTCCGCCGCTTCCGGAGACAAGCGCACCTCGGAAACGGGGGGGGGGCCGGGTGCCTGGCTCGCACCGAGGCTGGGGTGGGTTCCGACTGGCCGATGTGAAAACTCCGTGGATGGTCAAAACGCGTCATAAACCAGTGGGCTTTCCTGATGTTACAGCAGAGAGGTGGTTTATCCACCAGTACTTGTACGGCGCATGCCGCGACGGCCACCTTTTCACCCACCGATTTTCACGGCCACTTTTAGCCGGGGATTGGTTTGAACGGACAGCCCACTTCACAGGATCCTGCACTTTTCGGTGGGGGACGGAGACTCACCTTTCGTTGGGCCCAGAAAGGCTTCCTAGGTCCCGTTAATAGGGGGGTGTTCCCTCCAAAAGTGATGAATCCCAACTAAAATGGGACACCCCCCTATTGATCAACCGGGGGTTTATTAATCCGGGGTTTACATTAAAGGGTTCCTAGGCTCCCAAGGCAACTCCCGCGCTGGAGGCCTCATGGCAGGGCCGGCCGGAGATGTGCGGAAGCCAAGCCACGAGAACGCTGGCCGCTCCCGAGTTGAGGTAAGCCTGGAACATGGGGAAGGGGAGCAAGCGAGCCAAAAGAAAAAAAAGGGGCTGAGTCGCTGAGTGCATGCAGCCCTGGTATGCATTCTGCTCTCAAAGTGCTTGAGTTTGTTGCTTGAGCAGCTGCTACTTCTCCGATAAATTCTGGGAAAGGAGCCCCCTTCACAGGTCCAAGGCCATGGGTTCAGAGAGAAAGACGACACAATCAGCGTTTGAACCCGATCAACTACCATGGAACCTGACTGTTCTGCTGGTGGCACATGATTTCAGCTTCTAGGCACTCAAGTGGGGCTTGTCTGTGTTTGAGGGAAACCTTGTTGTGGCGGTTGTAAAGGCACACCAACATGAGACTTTTTTTTTTTTTTTTTGGGGGGGGGGTATTTTGAGACACGCAAGTCGGAAACCCACTTGGAGCCTGACTATGGCAATAGGTTTCCTTGCAATCTCCCTCTAAAGCCATCGAACACATGGGTAACACCGAAAATGAGACATCAATATATTTGTTACCAGTAAAGTCCATTTTCTTAAGATGAAGAAGAAAAGAAAGAGACAAACAATGCAATAGAAAGAGAAAGAGAAAGAGTGAAAGAGAAAGATAAAGAGCGGAAGAGAAAGAAAAAGAGAAAGAGATAAAGAGCGAAAGAGAAAGAGCACGAGAAAGAGATAAAGAGAAAAGAGAAAGAGCAAGAGGAGCACCATGAGGGTCGCCAAAACCGGCTTTGAGCACCGCTCAAATAAGTAGTTCCCAGTGCTACGGCACTTCCTCTGACAAACTTGGTTGATGGGTTATGTGGCAGCATTGCAAACCAGCCAGGGCGTTCAGCATTTCCCCTACTTGTTACGCATTTCTGCGATCAGCCGCATAGAGGCTGAAAAAAACAACAACTAGGAAAGAGGAAGGCCCCAGAGATGAAGCGACTTCATACCGAGAAGCCCAAGGCGTCAGAAGACGTTTGGAAGTAATTGAAAAACGGATTTGTCTAGGGGTTGATTCCCCATTCTTTTCAACCATCGTTCTTTCCAAAAACCGGATCCGTTTTCCCTGGGTTTCCGGAGGTGTTCTAGAAAGATTTGATTCCCTGGAAATATTGGAAATGGAAGGTACCCCTGGAATTTGTGTCTCGGGATCCTCGTTCTCTCCGAGGTTCGCACCATGTCTCCACAGGACTCCACTGTGCTCGGCGAAATCACGAGCTTCAGTCAAGCAGTGGTCTACAATCCAGTTGGGGTTTGGGACACTCTGCTAGTTTCCAGTCAAAGCCTGGGAGCGCAACCCAATTTTTCCCCCACTTTCCATAGAGGGTCCAGAATTTGACCGCGGGCATGCCCTTCAAAGGCCCGAGCTTTCCACTTTCCATGCTTCATTGGGCGCAGCACCAGCACGACGTGGCAGCGACTACATTCGGCAGCAACAATGGGAGTGGTGGATTTCCCCAAAAAGGAAACCGCTTGGAAGTCCAGCTTGAGATAGTAAAATGGAACCCTGGCTTAAACCACTCCTGTTTAAGCATCGTTTCGTTCTTTTGGCTTCCCTTTAAAGGGCACTCCAAGGGCCCCTTTTAAACATTTGCCCCTTTTCCTCCCCTGCAAAGCAACGAGCTCACGCAACCCCAAAGGTCTGCCTTTAAAGGGGGTCTGTAGTCGAGGCTCCCTCAACGGACACACTTGGGGTCCAAAAACTACTTCTGATCCACCTTCCGACTCCTCGCAAAGGAGGGTTTTTTGTGGTACTTTCCTCTTCCACACGAACCTAAAACCCGCCAGAGGGTTTATCCTTTTGAAGGAAAGCAGTCTTCTAGGACGTCAGGTTTGTGGACGGAGGGTGGGGAATGGAAAGGAGGAGTCTCGGGTCACTCAGGAGGCGGCGCAGTGGTGCAACTCCTTGGCGCTCTGCTGGGGCCCTAAAACACGTTGGACCCGGGACCCGGGATGCAGATGCTAAGAACTCGTAGTGGTAGTTTTTGTAATCTGGGTCCCCCAGCTAGGTGCCCTTTTTCACCTTCTTTTCCCCTTTTGTGGGGAGGGTTCAACCCTACTAAAATAGACAAAATGAAAAAAGGGGTACCCTTATTTTCTAACCCTTCTACTGGAGGAATTTTGGCTCAAGTGTCTGGTGGCCCAACGGCGAGGCCCCGAGCGTGGACTTTGGCTCCCAGCCGGGAGGCCAAGATTTGTCTCTTCCTCCTCTCAGCCTTCCGGCCAGTACTCTGAAGCCGGGATTGGGAAACCGTGGAGATGTGCAGGAGGAGCAGAAGGCGGACAACATGGAGAACATGACCACCATCGAGCCGGCATTGCAGCCGACGGGCAGGAGTCTCGAGTCGAGGAGGGGAGCAGACCAGACGGCGCCCAGCAGCGCAAGAAGATGGACAGCACGCTCGCCCACCCGAATTCATCCTGCAGACTGGTTCCGGGGACTGGAAACTCGTTTGCGCAAAGACGGCTTCCGGCTTTCCACTCTAGACAAGCGAGCCCAGGAGCCCCATGACGCGCCAAAGCTGTTGACTTTGAGCTAGACCCCAACGCGCAGCGGCTTCTCCAAGTTCCTCCCTCCACTCGCTGGTCAGCAGCACTGAGGAAGAGCTTTTCATTGCTTATCACTCCCCGCTCACGGAGGGGGTTGTTGAGTTGCGTCGTAACCGTGGCCGGACGACACGGCGGCAGGTGCAGTGGCTCGGAGGCCCCGAGGAGGGTGACTTCAGCCATATGCTCTTAGCTTTGCAGCATTACCCAAAAGAAACAGACAACATCAAGAATTGCGTTAAGGGAGATCATGACCATGTGTCACTCCGGTGCACACTACCCCTCGCGCAAGTGTCAACCCCGGTAATATTTGAGGGGTTCATTGACAACCTTGAATCTGCATGCCGTTCGCGGCGGCCGCTCATGGAGCTGGTAATTCACCTCCACAGGAACGGGTGCTCCGGCCACACGCCTACGTGCGCGGCTGAACTCTCACTGCAATCGGATTTGCTGCAGACGGAGTTGATGGACCTCACATCGGACAGTCTTTTATTCCCCGTCTACTGAGGTATCATTTCTTTGACTTTAACTGAGGCTCCACCAAAATCCTGTGACCGGATTCCCTGCAATTGCTGACAGGGCCTGTCACACCAAGGCCACTGATTCCAAGCCAGAGAGGACTGGAAAATTTTTGGCACTTGTCTTGTTCTCGCTTTTTCCTTTACCTTTCTTGTACTGCCTTTCTTTCCTTTGCCGCCTTTCCAGTATGCGTCTGTGTAAGGATCTGCGTGATAATCAGCCATGTGGGCTGCTTTTGCTGCGCCTTTGTCTTTCGCCCCCGTAAGGCTTAAATCCTGGTCAGCGGATTCTTTTTCCCTCCTTTTCCTTTTCCCTTGGCCTTGCCGTGTTTGAACGATCTTCCGCCGCCGCCAATGCGGCGTAGGACAGAACAATCATTCGTGTCAAGCTCCCAAAAATTTTCCTCGGCATAGGCGCTGATGAAGCCTTCTACACCTAAACCGTTTTCTTTATCATAAGTTCCAGCCTCTAGGAGGTAGAAGCTTCTGCGTTGTACTCCGCTGAGAAAAGGATCGGCCACGAGTGCGTGAGGTGCAGAAAAGCTCGAGGAACTGCTGCTTCACCAGCTGCTGGGTGTAGGCGAGCATCTCAATGCCTCTGATGCTCAGGATGAGACGAGTCTTTCTCTCTGGGACTCTGCGAGGTCTGCCTGAACAATGAACATCGAGGCCACCAAGTTGTATTCTGCACATGCGGGTCCGCCGCACCGTCAATGCCTCATCGTGCTGTTCAGAAATACTTGATCGTTGACGCCTCTCTCAATGTAGAGGTTTGACATTTTCGACCCCGGCGCTGGGTCTTTCAGGGAATCTGTGCTGAGCGTCGCCTTGTACATCTCCGCTGTGCCGTGTAATTGATTCTTCAGAGATGGACCATGCTTACGCGGGGTAAGTAGCCAACCAGTACTTCAACCGAAACCATGAGGTCGTGCCATCAAAAGCTGGAGGAGTCTTCGGGATTGGCTGGTTGAAAGCTGGCTGCTGAGCCACTGAGTGGCTCGTTGCCAATGCGGGTTCTGAGATCGCATCATCAAAAGTCTTCTTGTTCGATCTTGACTGTTGGCAAATAACATCAGCTGCTTCTGCAATCGAAAACCACTGCAATCCGCTAGCGCGGGGATTCGGAAGCCAACTCGGGCGCCGCTACCACTTTGTGGCGCAAATAGGGCTCAGGATACTGATAATGACAAGGCGCGGAGGCTGATGTCTCTTTTATGGCTGCGCAGCTATTTTCTGCGAGAATGTGGTTAAGCCACTGCGGAATGCACAAGCAACGACATCAAGCTGTGACAGTCACGCGCAGTAAAAATTATGACACAAGGGGTTCCTACGTGACTGTAAGGGTCAATCATGTACAATTCAAGCAGCACCCCCCGGCCCCAAAGATGCGGCTCGGTCGCTTTTTGTGTTTCAAGAGAGCTAAACATATGAAGTTAACCACTATACAGAAAAGGGAAGGGGTATCCAATTCACGTTTCAACGACAATTTGAAGGGCCCCAAATCCACCTGCCAACCCTCGCTGTGGCTGAGGTGGGGTCAAAGGCAAAATCCTGCGCGATCTCCAGGCGGATTGCTGCAACTGCTCACTGAAAACACGGGGACCCAGTTTTCTCCACCCGACGTGTCGTTTGGCCCCATCAACCAAGAGGTAAAATGGGGGTCAAGCAACTAGCTGTGCGTTTAGCCACCTGGCTCATGACCTAGTCGTAAACTCCAGTAATGAGGGACCTGCGTGCGTTAGGTTACTATCAACTCACTAACCTGGCCGAACACCCCAATAGTGGATGCAGGGTAGTCCGTTTGCAGTTTGGAGGCTCCCCTATTCTCATATCCTGCTCAATCAACAAATTGATTTCTTACTCACCTTGGGCTTGAACAACGGCGGATGGGACGTGTGCGCCCTTTGCTCTCTCTCTCTCTCCCTCTCTCTCTCTCTCTCTCTCTCTCTCTCTTTTTTCTCTCCTCTCTCCTCTCTCCTCTCTCTTCTGTTTTTTTCTCGCATGTGCAGGAGCAGATTGTCAAGAAACAGATTGACGGGCTTCAGCTGGATCGCATGCTCAGGAGCCGAACGCAGTCGCTCGATTGTTCTTTGCAGCCTCTTGCCTTGGGAAGCTTTCGCATGACGAAAATCCCTCCACAGCGAACATGTAGCGCCCAACGCCCTGTTCCAACCAAACAGGGACATTCGCAACATCTCTGAGTACGAAAAACGCATTTGCGAAGCCAAAAAGGAGCTGTTCACATTGACAAACATGTCCCCACGGCGCGAAGAGTGGATTGCTTTTTGCAGGGTATGTGTCCCCATGTTGGTGACCCCATGGTCCCCTCGAACGCTGCGGTTCGCAGCTCGCAATCCGCACGGACCAGAACTGGCAAGGGATGTTCCTTTGGACAGATGTTCCTTTGGATCAGGGTTCTGTGAGCAGAAAAGCGACGTTTTTCCGCTCACTGCGTTCGCACTTTTCCGCTCCACAGATGTCCCTTGCTTTTCCGCTCCTTGCGTGCGGTCTCTCCTTTGGATTCCAGAGACTCATGAATAACCGAGATCCACGGTTCATGAATATTCCGGTTCACGGATTTCGGTGCCCCGGTTCATGAATATCCCGGTGCACGGATTTCGGTGCCCCAAGAAGCATTGACTTAAGCCCCTGGGTTGTTTGGGTGTGCCCAAACATTTTCTGCGTGGGAACCGCGGAAACCGCATGCATCCTGTGCGTATCTCTCCGCAAGAAGTTTGTTGTTTTTGGTTGTCTCTTTTCTTGGCTGCAATCGATTGTTTGCTGTTTTGCCAGTTGACTAGCTGTTTGCCTGTTGGCTTTCGGCTCAATGTTGTTTTACTCCTGACTTTCTGTGATTTTATCGGCAGACCGGTCTGGCGAACTAGGAGCTCACCATGAGGGCAGATCTTGATCTGGAGGTTCCAGATTTCAGGTTCTGTGCAGATCGGGTTAAGTTTCTCTTTGTTTTCGGCAGGAGCAACACCTTGACGGATTTGGGCATCGAGGACACGGGATATGACCCTGTCAAGGGTGCCCGTCTGGGAAAGGGAGGGGCGTTGGCCTAATTGCGGATGGACAACATCCTGCAGGTGGTCCACCTTGTTCACCACAGGCACTCAGGGGAGGGGAGTACCAATCCGCACTCCGCCTTGGCCCAGAAGACGTGCAATGTAAGCCGGTTTATCCCCAGTAATACGTAATGTTGACCCCTGATTACTAAACCCCTCGCTCATTATTGCGGGGGGTTTCTGGAAGAAGGGAATCCCCACAAACAAGGGCCTTTTTAATAACAAGCGGGGGCTGATCAGGGGTTGACACTATTCACCGGGTTTCGTCCATCCCGACAGGATTTTGTCCATCCACGGCTTCAGCGACACTCACAGGTCATCCAATCCCTGGGGCTAACGCGCATGCAATCTCCTTAGCCATGCGAAGGGCATGGACACCCGGCACAAACGGGCCGTTGCCAAAGTGCAGACAAACAACCCCCAAAAAAGGGGGGCTCAAGAGAGATTGCTCCAAAGCCGATGGTTGGCTCAGAAGTGCAGACCATTCTATTGTTCCTAGAACACATTTGGATAACATGTTGGATGCCCAGCGGAACTCAGCAAAGCCGATGCTTTGGCAGGTTTCATGTTACTTTGGGGAGTAGTCTTGACAGTTGCTCAGCTAAATGCGGCGTCATCTCCAGGAGTTGAATGCGCGGCTGGCGCTATCCATTCGCCGGAGTTGGACGACTGACTTCAGTCGGGGGCCCAAGCAGAGTGTCCTTCAACCAAGTTACACCAGGGTGAAAGAAGATGGCACAATTTACTGCTCTTCTCTGCAAGTGCAGGAACCGGCCAGCATTCGAGGTTTATCCTAACAAGAGGCCGGACTCCACGTGGAGTCGGCCTCAGTGGGTTATAAACTACTAAGTTGGCCAAAATACCATCCAGGGCAGTTGAATTAAGGCACGGGTTTCAATCTGGATGTGCCACATGTTTTTTCTTCAACATGCCACCTGGGGCCCCAGTCGCTAAGCGGCTGTGGACCTGATGGGTTTTCGTTGAACCCTCCTTGTTGCTCAGCCTCAAGAGGGTGGTCGATATCCCAAGAGCAACCACCGTGCAATGACGTTTGATGGTTTGTGCACCAAACATTCCCTCATGGGCGCTGGTGTTATGGGGGGGAGGAGGGAGCCCAAATAAGGCCTTTGGTAAGGCCTTATCAAGGGCAGCCCCCATGATCCCCAATTGAAATCCATAGCCAGCAGAACCCGAGCGAAAGTGGGGCGGATGCACTTTTGCCACCGGCCAGATGGCGTCACCTTCATCAACTACGCCGCCAGCCAGGCGGCCATTTCGCTGCGGCTGTCACGCTCCCTGAAATTCGCAGCCACCTGCCCGCTTTGGGGTTCTTAGCAAAGCTGGTGGTTACTTGGGGGCGATGTTGGGACTCGCCAGCCAAAATGAATTTGGGTCTGTCTTGTTCTTCAGCGGCCCTCTTTTGCCGGGGTTTTTAAGGGAAACCAACAGGAAAGCCGAAGTCCACGTTGGGGGGGGTCCGCATGTGTGTTCCGTTGACTTGTGGCCACTTGGCTGCCCTCTCCCCTCTGGCCCAATGAGCCCCGTGAGCCCCGTGAGCCCAATGAGCCTTGAGAGTTGAAGCCTCAGAAGTGGTTGACATGAATCCCTGCCTGAATGTTGCCACCTAAGGCGTCCTTCTTTGCAGCGTCGCGCCCGCCTTCTTGATGAATGCATCTGCTGGTTTCCATCTGCTGGTTTCCGGCGAAAACAGTGCCCCACCGGCGAAAGCTTGAGGTTCTTTGGTTGCAACAGTTCATTCATCCAAAGGGACCAGAACGCCGAAGGTTCTGACCCAAAACGAGCAACGGTTGGCAGGCCGAAAGGAAGACAGCAGAGAGAGAGAGAGAGAGAGCTTGGGTGCCGTTTTGACCGGTGTTGCCTTGTCCATTCACATGGAACCCACAAAAGGTCTTCCAGGACCCCGAAGCGTCAGACTCCATGTTCATGGACGGGAGGGTAAACAGCTTGAGTTCATGCACTGCAAGCTTTTTGGGAAAACCATTTGGGTGGGAAGTGAGTTGAGCGGTGTTAAATGCTCGACCATTTTGAGCATGACCCAAGTTTCCCCATTTACCAGCAAAACGTTGGTTGGTCCCCCACCGCTGTGGTATCGAATCAAAGAACTAGAGTGAACACACAAAGCAACATGTACCCACCTGCTCATGTTGGTGAGAAGTAACCCCTCTCTGCGGTCAGCAGGTGGCACTCCCATCCTCATGACTACGTTGCGCCACGTCGGGGCTCGTCGAGCCACATTGAGCAGTTCTCAAAATCACGGGGCGGTTCTCTCCAAACCACCAAAAAAAAGGGGCCAATATTGAGGATGTCTTTTTACTTGGCGGTTCCGAGGCATACCTTTGGAGTTTGCTTTTAGCTTTGAAGGATTGTATGACATCTGCCACTTCAATTCCAACCAGCGAGGGATCGACGAAGCAGAATGCTGCTTTCTCCTTTCCTGGTAACCGTGATGGAAAGGGAAACCACAAGGACCATAGTGTCCCACTTGATTGTGACTGGACCATTAAAATATGGGGTCCCTTCTCATTTTGTCCCTTGACCCGAGGTTCATCCGGCTTGGAACTGGGTCCAGGGACCCAGTTCCCAACTTGTCCCAGTCATAGGTGTCCTTTTTGGTTGTTTTGGTAGAACAATAGATGGGTTTCGATTCCTGGTTTACCTGGTGGTTTAAACATCTTCCGGGGAAATCCGTCTATTTCCTCCAAAAGGACACCTACTGTGGATGGACGAAATGCTGCACCAGCTAAGACACCCTGGAATGATGTTTCCCCTGCAAACACCAGCAAACAATGGTTTCCCATGGTTTCAAAGTGGTGCAGGATTGCGTCCGTCCACAGTATGGTCCCAGTTTCCGCCGGCTTCGAGGGAAGTTCAACGGCAGGCGCACTTCCAGGGCCGGGAGCTGCCGGGCCCGGCGCCGGCCGGGGCGCGGGAAGACCCGCGCCGGCAGAAGCGAGCCCGGGACTCGGCGTGGTGTGTTTTGGAGACATTTTGCCACCATTTGAAACATATGTTGGTTTTTCAACACCAAAATGCAGGGAAGCCACCATTTGCAAGGCAATGTTCACGTGTATAATGTAAGGATCCCGGTGGTACCCTTTTGGGGGTTGGCTTTTTTATGGGAGAATAAGGGGAAACCCACTGCTGTGTTGCCTTCATGGATGGAGGGTAATTGCCTCCTTTTTGTGGTGGGTTTCACACAGGGAAGCCGAGTCATTTTGGCGGGTCCCCTGAAGAGGTGCTGGAAAGAATTCGGCATCAAAAAGAAACCCTTGACCCTGGGTGCCCTTGTGTTTTTCAAGAAAGGGGCTCCTTTTTTCCCCAGGGTGCCAGTGACATTTTCTGGGTTCAGCAGATGGCTTCCTCCATGCCCCTGAGAGCCAGGGCTTTTGGGCTAAAGCGTTAACCGTAGGTGGTCGCTTGTCTTGACTCTTAATAAGTATCCACTTGGGCCACCATTTTGGCTCAAGTGGACCTTTTGATCTTTTGTCTTGTGATTTGAAATCTTTCTTTCCCCTACTCTCAAAGCCATGTACGCCCCCGCCTACGCTGGTGCCGCGGTAGCAGAGGCCAAGGCTAAGGCAAAGGCCTCCATGGCAAAGTACCTGGCGAGCCTCGTGAAGAGGGAGGAAGAAGGATGGACCGTTTTGGCTGCTGAGGTCCCTCAGGCACCTGACGAGCGTTTCTTCTCCAGCGCAGATGAGCTGGAGCAGGCCCCCTTATCCCGGCCAAGCGCAAGGCAGAGGATGAGCCGATGGAAGATGCAGCCCCTGGGGTGGCGCAGGTGCCGAAGGCCCTGACACGCCCCCCAGGGGCGTTCCTGGAGCTCCTGAACCCGCCGGAGGAGGACGTGCCCATGGAGGAGCTCCTGGCGAAGGACGAGAAGGAGCTGCCGATGCCCAGGTCCTCGGCTGCAGCCCGCTTGGAGGAGGCCCGCCTGGATGCCCGGGCAGACGCCAAGTGGCAGAGGCGCCGGGAGCTGATGGCGAAGGTCAAGGAGCAGGCGTCCTCGGAGGAGGATGAGAACCCCGCAGCCCCCCCGCCGGGGGGGAGCGTGTTCACCAAGGCCCTCAAGGTCTCGGAGGGCCTCTACCAGTTCAGCGACGACCAGATGGCGGGCGACTTCCCTTGCTTCGATGCGACCACGGCCACTAGGCTCCGCCGACTGCAGGCCAAGGACGTCCAGCGGCTCCTGCGAGGCTTTGAGGGCCCCCAACTCAAGCAGGGGGGCCTGGAGCGCGTTGTGGAGGCCTTCTACATCGCCAAGATGAAGTACGAGCATGAGGCCCGGCTCAGCACCCCGGGACAGCAGGTTGGCAAGCGCGCTGGCTTGGGGTACGGGGGCCTGGAGAACCGCCCCCTGGGCAAGGTGCCCACATCCTGGATCTGCCCCTGCTGCACCATGCCCTGGGTGAAGAAGGGCGCCACGAAGTGCATGGGGTGCGGCAAGAAGACGGAGCCCATTGACACGGCGACCAACTCGGCCACCCTGGAGATGGCGGGCACGCATTGGCAGTTGACGGTGGATGACCAGGGCAATGCGGTCTGGACGGCGGCCCGGTCCGCGGGTGCCGAAGGCCCTGACACGGACCGGGCCCGCGACCTCAAGCTCAGTGCCTCGGTGGACGTCAGCGAGCTGGCCACCGACCCGATGGCCTGCGAGAACCCGGACCAGGCCAGCTTCTCGGACTCGTCCCCTCCTCGGTCCGGGCGGTGATCAGGAACTGCCCCATGGAGCTGGACGAGGAGTTTCTGACGGCCCCACCGGGGGAGAGGCCCCCATTGCCAGGCGACAAGGAAGAGGGCCAGGAATGCAGAGCCTTCCACCCGTCTGCGGTGAAGGCCTTCAAGATTCAGACCCGGCTCAACGCCACCACCATCGCCCAGGAGGAGGCCAAGAAGGCGGACCAGGTGGAAGCGGTGGAGCGCTCCGCGGCGGTCCTCCAACCTGGACTTGGACCTCTTCCGTGAGAAGCTGCTGGACAAGCTGGGTGCGGACTGGGGGAGACCCACACCGGAGCTCCTCCAGGCCCAGACCACTGCGGAGGCTGCGAAAGCGAAACACCAAGCCAGACAGGCGAAGGGCTCCCTCGAAACCAGAATGCTCGAGCCCATCGCGCCTCCCTTCAGTGCGTGGCCTAGTGAGGTCCGGGTCGCCATTGAGACTGGGGTCTTCGAGCCGACAACGGCATGGAGGGACTTCAGTATGGACGACCTCACATCCCTCACGGACTCCTACCTTGAGGCCAAGGCGGTCATCTCGCTGGGTAGGAATCCCTTCCCGGCGGCCCTCCTGTCAGATCTGCCGGACCTGACAGGGATCCCCATGCCAAAGGCGGGGGGCTCTGGTGCGGCGCGCAGGTGCCGAGGGCCCTGACAGGCCGCCCACCATCCCCCCACCTCGGGCTCTGGCGTGACGAGCTCAGGTGCCGAGGGCCCTAAGCCGTCCGCCACCCCGGTGGGCCTGGACACCAAGGACCCGGAGGTGCAGCTCTCGGTCCTGCGCTGGATGATGAGCAAACGGGTCGGAGAGGTCCGTATCTTTGCGGGCCGCTGGGTCCGACGACCGGGCCCGGTACACGTCCCGGATTGGGCGAAAAACCTCACCAAGGTGAATCCGGAGGCGTTGGAGAAGGGTACGCATCCCAGGAACCACCAGGTGGGTGGACTCCCCTGGGCCAGGTACTCCGTTGATGAGTTGCACCAGCAGGCGAAGGCGGGGGACCGACCCTACCCTGGGGACCTGCGATCCATCTTTTGGGCTGCCCCCCACGATCCGGATGAGGACTTCCACTGGACGCGCCAGATCTCGTCCTGGACACTCCCAGGCCTACTGGGGATGTTCGGGCACAGCTACACCCTGCGCCAGCTCTGGGGAGTCTGGGAGTCTCTGCCACTGCTGCAGGGCCCTAGGCAGCGGGGCCCGAAAAACAAGGCCCAGAATCAGACCCGCCTGGAGGGCTGGGAGACCCTGAAGGAGGACGCGCGGTGCTTCCTGAAGGAGGAGGGCCTTCCGTTTCCGCAGACAGGACCGGAGTGGCGATTGGTCTACCGGGCCATGGGCAAGGTCCTCGCGGCCCGGGCCTTCCTCACGGACACCCCGGCGGAGGTGATGCAGCTCCCGGTCCAGGACGTGGCGGACTCCAAGGAGCAGATGATCCTGCGGGCGGTATGCGACGAGCCATCTCGGTCCCGGTGTACAAGGTGTACAAGGCCCTCATGGACCGCATTGGAGGCCCGGGGGCCCTGGCGGAGGTGAAGGTCAACTGGCGCTGCAACACGAAGCAGTGGTGGGTCGGCGCAGTCCCCGACTCAGTGGCCCCCTCCATCTACCGCAAGCTCGGCTACACCAACGACATGATCAAGCTGATGGGCCTGGACCCCTCCGCCCCTGGGTGCCGGACAGGTGCCGATGGCCCTGACATCCGCCCCAGGGGAGGCGAGGGCGATGAGGGGATCGTTTACCCCCCCATCACGGCGGACAACGTCCACGGCGTGGTGGGTAAGGACTACCGGAAGAAGAACTATCCGGTGGAGATGAAGCATGTCTTCTGGGCGCACATGGAGTGTGGCCTGGTCCTGAGCTCCGTCACCCCGTGGGAACTCATCCCGAAGACAAAAGGGGAGACCCGGGGGGGCTACATGTGCAAGTATTGTAAGGGGTACTGGCGTGCCGGGGGAGGGGGCACCCGCCTCCTCCAGATCCGGGCCGGCAAGGCCATCTTGCAGCTGGTGTTGGACGAGCCGCCGGAGGGCCTCTACAACCGCTGGGTGAAGGAGCGGCTGGAGTACTACCGCCGGGTGGAGCCCTCGGCCCCGTTGCGGGACGTCTCCATCGTGGACCAGAAGGTGCCCAGGTTCAGATTCAGCCAGACCACCCAGACAGGCCACGTCTCCAATGCCATCTGGGAGCTGATTCTGCGGAATCCGGAGGCTGCTGCGCTCAAGCGCATCGATGACATCGCGAAGGGGGCCGCGTGAGGATGCGGGACAACGCCATCTTCCGGCACACCATCCAGGACCGCGGCCATCCGGAACGGATGCGCAGCGCACCCCGGGGGGGGGGACAGCGCTGATATCCCCCCCCAAGAAACAGCGCAGGCCCAGACTTGCACCAGGCGAGGAAAATTGGCGCGGCTGCTGATCCGGGGTGCGCCTTGGTTCCCCTCTCTTGTTTGGTTTTCCCTTTTCGGGGCGGCTCCCTGGGTCCCCCTTTTTCCCCCGTTTCCTCCGTTTCGGGGTTGACTTTCCGGGGTTTTGGGGGGCCCCCTGTTGTTTGGTTGGGGCTTGCACCTAGGGACTAGGCCCCCGGCTCGAGTGGATCATGATGATGTGGAGGCCCCGCCTCCCTTCCCCGTTTGGGACGACCTTCCTAGGGGCGCCAACCGCGCTCCAGTTGATTTTGCATGACCTTGGATTTGCACCAGTGCAGTCGGACGGGGAAATCCTCGTGGCGTGCTGCCTGGAATGGGTCAAAAAGGACAAGGTCGCCAACCCGGATGCGGTGGTCTTTGACCCGCGGCCGTGGACACGGATCGTGGGGCTGGCACCTGACGGCAACCACGTCCTGGTGGCCTCGGACACCTACAACTTGATCCTCGCGAGGATACTCGGCTCCCAACCACAACCGCTGGAGGAGGCGGATTTGGAGCTCGCTACTAAGACCCTGCAACAACTTCTGTTTCGTGCGGCAGGCGCCAGGCAATCGCACACCTATTCTCCACTGGAAATGGAACAGGCCATCCGGGACCGCGAAGAGTGGATCCTTTCCGGATCGATTGAGGCCCCGGATGTCCTGGCAGTGGCCAACAAGTGGCGGCATTGGAAACCAGGGAAGATCAAAACCCAATTGCCGACATCTCAGAGAGCGTTGGAACAACACTTGAGGGCCAGGTGGTTGGAACGCCTCCTGGGATACTTCATCCCCTTCCGGCACCAGATCCCCTACATGCACCA